CCGCCCCCCCCCCCCTTAGAGCTGCGGGCACCCTGGAAAAGCCTTGTGCACAGTTGTTTGTAGAGAGCAGGTGCCTTCACTGCACAGCTCTGCTTCAGCTGCAATGGCCAACCAGCAAGCTCTCCGAGAACCCCCCTCGTCCTTCCAGGGAGCAGCCACAGGGGGTCCCAGGACCCCCCAGGAGGACAAAAAGGCCTGCCCTGACCTGGAGAGGCCCAGAGATTGCGACCCTCCTCAAATTGTGGGGTGAGAGTTGCCACTCCAGGATCCCCGGGCCAAGCGCTGCAACGCGGAGATCTTCTCCTGCATGGCTATATCCCTGGCAAAGAGAGGTCACCCTGCCTGGACCACGGAGCAAGTCCGGGCAAAGGTGAAGGAGCTCTGTCGGGTACGTGAGGGCCACAGAACACAGGGCGCGCTCAGGAGCAGGATCCCACACCTGCCCCTATTACACGGAGCTCCACCACATCTTGGGGGGCGGGGAAACCTCTTCCTCCCCCACCATGATGGACTCTGGCCTGGACACACTGGTAGTCATCTGCCTGGAGGGCATCTCTGAGGAGGAGCTGGAGGGCCAGGCCCAGGCCCAGCCCCAGCCAGAGGAGGAGCAGGAGCCAGGGACCGTCATCCTGTCCCTCGAGCCAGTCCCCGCCAGCTAGGATGTCTCCCAGGCCTAGGGATCTTCAGGTGAGTTGGCACACACACACTCACAGAGCGGGGGAGGCGGGCGCACAGGGAGCGGAGGCCTAGTGTAGTTTGGGTTGCTCAGGCAGCACACGGTGCTGCAGTCTGTGCACGTGCAGCGGGCTGCTCCGAGCTCCTCTGCTACCCACTAGGGGATAAGATAGTGTCCACATTTATTGGACGCTTTCCTGCATTTAAGTTGTAATTAGCAGGGCTCGACAAATAATTCAATCTATTCGCCAGTGGTGAGTAGATTGTAACCTGGAAGAGCCAGGTTCAGGCGATCCGCACATGCGCAGATCGCTGGACAGCGCGGCTGGCGAGCGGGGCATGCCGCAGTTCGGCGAGCTCCGGTAATTAGTATGGACAGAGTGCCCACCAGGGCACCTGTGTTATTTCTTGGAGGCCTCTTCTTTCGAAAGAACTCCCTCTTATGCATCCACACACACCTTCTTCCAAAAAAGCTTTGGAAAAAGGCTTCTTCCGTTGTCGGAAAAATCCCTCCGTTCTTTCAATTTTCTGTCCCCCACTGGCCCCGTACTCCCCGCAGCACTTTTCCCTTTGAAGTGTACCAACAGCCTGGGGGCTGTTTCTACAAATCAAAGGTGGTAGTGTCCTAATCGAATAGTTACATCAACTATTTGATTAGTCAATTAATCGAAATGTAACATCCCTAGAGTTAACCTACTTTAGGGTGAGTTACTGCAAGGTCTACACTGTGTGGGGTTGACTGGAGAAACCTCTCCCCTCAATTTGATTTCTCTTACTCTTCTCTCAACGGTAGAGTACCAGGGTCTACTGCTGTAATGTAGATGTAGTCTCAGTCACAACTTTAGGCCAGGTCTACACCGCTGGAGAAAATTGATGCAAGATACGTAATTCCAACTACGAAAACTGAGTAGCTAGAGTCAAGGTGCCTGACGTCAATTTTCAGGGGCAGCCCCACAGTTGGAGGCTGATGGAGAAACTCTCCTGTGGCCTTCCCTTACTTTGTGCGGCGTCAAGGAGGGCACCCTCAGTGTTGGATTTATTGGGCCTTTACCAGACCCACTAAATACGGCCCCAGAAGATCAGTAGTGAGGATCCTCTGGCAAGTCTAGGGAAGCCCTTCAAGTGAAGTCTGTTCTACCGACACAAGGGGCCTTCGCCAGCATAACTAGAACACACACAAGACACCAGGCAGGGCCCGCTTACGTTCTTTAACTTGAAAATGTGTCTTCTCCCTTTGCCTTTGGTAGAAACCTTCTTTTCGGCAGCCGGGGCGGATTTGTATTTTGTGTTCCTCAGCCGCGCCGACCGCCTGTGGATCTACTGCT